TTTTTGGCCCCCCTCCCATCCCCCTTTTCTGGATTTCTTTTTGTGGGGTGTGTGATACGTGGTAAGGTACTTGCTGGGCAAAAAAAAACAAAGGGTAACTTCAGTACAGTCACAAAAATGAGTTATAATTGTACTATGGGCCAATATATTTTTTGCAATTGCGATGATTCACTGTATTCGGAGGGAAAGCTCGGTTCTATTACGATAGGGGTGCAATTTCAAAGCGTATCTTGGCCCATACTGCAATTACAACTCGTTTTTGTGACTCCCATGTAGTTTCTCAAAAAAAAAGCCTGGTTGCATTACGACAAGGGTGCGACAAAGGTTTTGTCTGTCTTCGATATGAAAAATGGTGTGGGATTTGATATTCCTAGGTTGTTGGGGCACTTGGGGGGCGTAGGGTGTCGTTTTCGTGTGCAGGCATTTCGTGTTGTTTGGTCTGCGAGGTTTGTAGTGTTTTAGGGGCTTGTCAGTGCGGCTGGTGGTGGTTGGGGTGATGACGATTTTTGTTCTTTCTGTTCCATACAGTTTCAGTGCAGGGGTTTGCGGATGAAACTCCTCGGTGGGTGGTTTCGTGCATCCCAAATTTGTGTAATTATACAAAAGTCAACAAAAATCACCAAAGTAAAAACACATTGGGACATTTTTCATAGCGCAATTGGGTTGACATGAATTGATGGTTTCGAAACATATGACATAGAGTTTAGCAACGCAAGTCTTACATTTCGCACATTACGAAACAATGCATCATGTACAATGGAACCGTGAGATCATGCATGCACTAAAACATACCACGTTGCCAAACACACAAACAAAACTTACAATCCATAGGAAATATGAAACAATAATGTACATCTGCGATCATGTGAGTCACAATGAGTGTGGACTCATAAAACACAATCATACAACGAGCAGGGAAAACCAATACAACTGTTGCATGAGTCGTACAACATGCAATATAGCACTCAGATCCCTGGAAGTACAAATGTATTGTCGAACAACTGCTCCTCCTATGACTCATATCCACCCACATAAGAAACTACATACTCTCCATATGTACAGACGTCATCCTAATGAAAAAAAAAATCAGAACAACTGTCACTAGTATACATATATCTCACAAAAACGAAGACATAAAAACCCTACCACAAAGAACCTCCTCTACCACACGCACCGTCTGACGCCTTGGACTACACACGAGTCCTGGGAAGGTGGAAAAAACTCACATAAATAACTGCGAAACTAAAGTACATATGAGGAACTAACAAAACGTTTACGAACCACGCACCGAACCATGGGAAACATCCAGATAAACAGGAAGACATATCTACTGCCCCTGATCACTGCCTGCTCGTCGTCGTCCCCGTGTCGACGGTGTCATACATGTCCCTGCCTCGACCAATCTCTCTCTCTCTCTCTCTCTCTCTCTCTCTCTCTCTCTCTCTCTCTCCCCCTGCGCCTCACAACGTCGTTGGGCTCCTCCTCTGTGTCGGCCTCTGAGGCACGCGTCGCCTCCAACCTCGCGAGCTCCCTATCGCGGATGTCGTGCAACTCCCTCAATCGCGCCTCGTCCCTAGCAATACGAGACTCTATCTCGTTAATGCTGGTGTGAGATCGCTCTCCACGAGGCGCCGACACACCGTCCTCTCCGGAAGTGTACAACGCAGGCGCGACCATGCATGAACCTAAAAGTAGGTCTCTGTGCGCGCCGTATCTAGGGAGTCCGAGAATGCGATAAGCAGTCCCCATACTTAGTGTCGGCCTCTACTCCTCCCTCAAACGTGCCTGCTGCGCTGCGAAATCACCCCCCATACCATCATCAACTCGTCGCACTGTGCTTCATGGACGGTGAAGCGACTGCTGTGTGTTGAGGCGAGGTGACGACGACGACGGCATGTGGCCTCTCTCGGCAATACTACCCGTGATAGTTGTCGGAGTATCGTGGAGTGTAGTCGGTGGAGGAGGTGTAACTGGGGAGATGCGAGTCGTACGTGCACCCGAAGCCGTTGCTCTGATAGTCTCTGAACATTGCTGCTCACGCTCCAAGCTCGCAGGAGAGCCAAAATACAGAGGGCTCAAAGGTGTGTAAAGCGGAGGCGATCGAACTCTGACCCTGAGAGATCCCGCAGGTCCCCTGCTAATCGGATCCTCCAGTAGCGCACGGTGCAACTCGTCAGGGTCAAGTAGGCCTGGTGTAATCTTCCCTTCCTCCATATCTGCTCTCACGGGGTCAGGACGGTCATGTGCTATACCGCCCTTCCCCTCCTCATCAACACCACCTCCACCCTCCGCAGGATGTGAAGGATCCTCGTGTGCCATCGGTGAAGGACCACGCAACACCAACGCCAACGACATATTGCCTCCGGCCTCGTCCACATCTGCATCACCCTGTACAGGTCCACATGCGTCACCCCCAATCGGCCAGTGTGACGATCGACCTGAACCGGCACTATGCGCAGGTGCAAGACGGTCGGGATCACCCGCCCCATCATCGCCCTCCGCATCGGGTCTGCGGCCTCCATCCAACTCGCCTGAATCACCGTCCATAGGAACTGGCTCTTGAGTGGCTGGAGGATCACGCTGCAACATGCCCGCCGCACACAGTCCAAGTATGGCGTTGGACACAGCCGGATCTCCATACTCAGACGCACCTAAGTCTCCTCCCATCGCGGACCCCGAGTCGATATCTCCCTGGGGCGACGTCTCAGGCACTGGGGTGTCGGGTGTCGCTGTGTCCGCTGCAAACGGGTGCGGGACTGTAGGAACGCTATGCTCGACCCCGCGCGCATCAGGGACAACAATACCCGTCTCCAAGTCCCGAAGACGCTGCTGCTCCGCCATGTACGCATCTCTACCCACCCACTCTCTCTGCAACTGCGCCAGCCGCTGGTCCTCCTCTCGATCCATCTGGGTATGGAGCTCCTCCGTGGACTCTGCTCCACCACCTTCCATAGGATGATACCCGGCCTCATCCCCCACTCTCTCTCGCCCGTCAGTCCGTCCTCGAACACCGCTGCCCTAAAATCCTAGTCCAAGGCCCTGAAAGACACTCGTGCGCAACTCCGTCTGCTCCCTGTCGCCTCGAGGTGCTGAGGTGGGTGTATGATGGCTCGGCAAATGCTCCTATGCTCTGATGTCGTCTAGATGGTCCGACACCTCGTATCTACCACCTGAAGTCGATCCCGCCAGCGTCTGCAGCCTCGCTGATCTCCTAAGACCCTCGGCGGCAGGTGCGGCTCCCTGGCGCACCAACCGTGCTATGCGAAGCAGTAACGGCTCGTCGTCGTCATCGTCGTCGTCGTCCACGCTGTCCAGCCCGGTCACCTCTTTCTCTTTGCACCCACCACGGGGTACACCACTAGACCCTCCGCATCTCCACTCGCGCCACTTCTAGCAACTCCACTTGCGCCGCCTGAAGCGTCTCGCTGTCCACGCTCCAACCCTATATCGGTCGCGGGGATGGAATCGTCGTCGCTCTCCCGAATGAATGTGCAGCGTGGCTGAAATCCATGTCCTCCGACGCCCGCACCGACTCTGGTGGCGGCAGAGGCACGTGGTCGTAAGGAAGCAGTATCTCCGCTCTGACACCGAAAACCTCAGCAACTCCCCCAGGGCGACGAGCACCCTGCTGCTGGAAGCGACGAACCTATGCACTGATCTCATGTGCCGACACTGATGACTGAGCTCTGGCTCCCCACTCCTCTGGCTCAGGCTCGTCCTCCTCATCCTCGTCGTCGACCACCGGGTGTGTATACTCCTCTGGCTGCGCCTCAGCCAGGGTTGCCATGCGACCCCACGGAAGAACGTACCCCCCACTCCGCTCGCCGCATCCAAGTAGTTTGAGATTCTTAGCAATCTCAACCAACTGCGCGACCTTCCTGAACTCGAGCTTGTTGCGCTTGGTCGTGTGGATGCGCTCCTGCTCTGCCCAATTCCTCTTAGCAGGATAGGCGGACGTCCACATGTGCATCACACGGCCAGCGATCTCCTGCAAGTCCGCGAAGCATGCATCATGCTCCACCTACCAAGACGCGCATCTGCTCGTCTCGTCATCCCCGATACAGGTCTCCGCCTCGGCGTCCCTCGTCACCCTGTCTGTCATGTGGCCTAGCGTGGAAGGACCACATCTGCTCCCGCACCCGCAAGTATATATCCCCCGCCGGATCACCGCCTGTCTGCGCTAACAGAAACGAGTCGCATTCGGTAACCACCTCGAGGTCCGCAGCTGTCCTACAGACGGACTCGTAATAACTGAGAGAGCGTCTGCGGGGGTTGAGCAGATGCGCCGCAGCGTGCGCGGACTCAAGCATATGCATGGTGCGGATCTGCACCGCCTCCACGCACGGCCCCCGCATGTCATCAGGGACGTCAGCAACAGCCACCTGCCGTACCAACTCCTGCGACCATGAGTAAATCGTGGACATGATCATGCAGCCCCTGTCCAATCTCCTCAACAACTGGTGGACAGGGGTCATGACAACGACAGCGTGGTGAACATTGCACCAGAAATCAGTGCACCAGATGACCTGTCGAACCTACAGAGCCTGTCTGCGCTTCGACGACACTCATGGGATCTTGTCGCACTCCTCGTCCTGAAGCATGCTCTCCAAGGCATTACACCTGGCGAGCAAACACACAAACATAAAAAGAACAGACGTGAATCGCGTCTCTACGGGGTGCACAAGTGTGCGGCGACGAATCTTCAAAGGTGATAAGCCGCGCCGTGCGATTTAATGAATCGCACCAACGCCCGAGCTTTGAAAATGGTGTCCGTAACCCAAAGAACTCGTATCCCGATGTTAGACAACATCAAGTTGGCAACGTGGGTGGAACACGGGAGCCAAGTGATACGGCGGATCTGCGGATCGGAGTCCTTTGCAAGGAGCTTTGCGGCCGACGTATAGTTCGACATAGAGTCCGTGCAAATGGCCAACACGTCCTTCGGAGGGAAAGACCGGAAAATGGCCTTTCACCTCCTCAGGACGATCTGTGTCGTCTCA